AAGTACAATAAAATATTAAAAAAAAAAAAAGACATTACTCTTAGGATTTATGTTCCTGAGAAACTGTTGATTGCTTAACACATCCTTGTTTAACTGATGCTTTTGCTCCAGCCCCATTGCTGCTGTTGAAGATTCACACTTTAGTCAAGTCTCCCTCAGATGTCAGTAGACTTTCTGATCCCCCTACATCACCAAACAGTTATTACTAGGTTGAACCATGTGAAATTTCTGTTTTTGCAGATCAAAAATAGTTGGGTATTTGGCAATTTCTTATGGTTCAGCCTAACACCATTTCCCTTTGAACCCACATAGCCCTTTATCTGAATCTTGCTGGTGGCATTTACACGGACCTGTCTTGTCCATCCACAGACTGTAAAACCCCTTAAGAGTGGGGACTGTTTCTTGTTTCTCTTTGGGACCTCTCCTCCACAAAATTGTTGTCGTTGTTAGTTGCCATCGAGTCGATTCTGACTCATGGTGACCCCATGTGTTACAGAGTGGAACTGTGCTCCATAGGGTTTTGTTGGCTGTAACCATAATGGAAGCACCGGGTGGGTTTGAACCGCCAACATTTAAGTGACTAACCCACTGCCATCAAGTCAATTCCAACTCATAGTGACCCCATAGGTTTTCCAAGGCTATAAATCTTTGCAGAAGCAGACTACCACATCTTTCTCCCATGGAGCCACTGGTGGTTTCAAACCTAATTGACCTTTCAGTTAGCATTTGATCGCTTTACCCTCTGCACCACTAGGTTTGTGCCACCTAAGGACCTTCCTCCACAGATTACGCTCTGACTAAATGTTTGCTGGGTGGAATGAATTTAGGGGTAGTATCATTGTTCGCTTAACCTCCTGTGTCCTCCCTTTCAGCGGTCCACATGTGCAGCGTCTTGGAGCATAACTGCACCCACTTCTGCATCAACACCCCCGGATCCTACGTCTGCAGGTGTAAACAAGGATACATCCTCAACTCAGATCAGAGGACTTGCAAAAGTAAGATTGCTTGCTGGTGTGTCTGTACTGCTCTTCTCTTCTGTCCTGTTCTCTCCTTTTATTGTTAGGTGCCATCAAGTTAGTTCCAACTCATAGCGACCCTATGTACGACAGAACAAAATGTTGCCTGGTCCTGCACCATCCTCACAATCGTTAATATGTTTGAGCCCATTGTGGCAGCCACTGTGCCAATCGATCTTGTTGAGGATCATCCTCTTTTCCACTGACCTCTGCTTTACCAAGCATGATGTTCTTCTCCAGGGACTGGTCCCTCCTTTTATCTAGGCCCATTTTATTTGTCTAAGCCCCTTCACCCAACCCAGTTACAATCTTCCTGAGGACAGAGACGATGATTTGTGACTTGTGTATTTTGTGTTTACCCCTACCCCACCCACACTCTGCCATCACAGGCCCTAGGCCAGAGCTGGGCGCATAGTAGTAGGCCATCAGGAAGAGTTTGAAAGGTCATTGGAGGCACCTTCTCAGAAATAGCCTGCTTGAATATGTGGGCTGGTGTCCTTTGCATTCAAGCTTGTTCTTTAGGGGGAACTGCTGCAGAGTCTTTACATCCAGTGCCCTTATTAACTGTTGTTATTGTGTGCCGTCGAGTTGTTTTTGACTCATAGTGATCCCAAGTGACAGAGTAGAACTGCCTCATAGGGTTTTCTTGGCTGTAATCTTTACAAGAGCAGATCACCGCCAGATCTTTCTCCTGCAGAGCCACTGGGTGGGTTTGAACCACCAGCCTTTTGGTTAGCAGCCAAGCACAGAACTATATACATTTTCACCACCAGGGCTCCTTTTATTAACTGTACCCTGTAGAATTGTTTCTGTATCTTATTCGCTCCTCTGAAGCATAGATTTAGGTTCAGTTATTAACATCAACTTGGAATGATTATTCAAATATTATACATTTTTGTTTTTTAAAATAGAGTAATTAATTTTAAATTTCCCAGTACTTCCTTATTTTAAAGGACGTGCACGTAACACAAATGTTTTAAAGCCCTCAGGTGTATTTGCTTCTTCTGGAGACTGTTTGAACTCAAAAGTCCTTGATTAAGAGCAATACTGCACAATTTTAAAAGAAAAAAAAAAAAAAACCATTGTCTTCAAGTCTATAGAGGTGTCACAGTGATTGAGTTGCTTTGGTAGGGATACTGTAGGTCTCTTAAATAAAAAAGGGACCCCTGGTGGCACAGTGGTTAAGAGTCTGTCTGCTAACCACAAGGTTGGCAGTTTGAATCCACCAGCTGCTCCTTGGAAACCCTATGGGGTAATTCTACTCTGCCCTATAGGGTCGCTATGAGTTGAAATCAGCTCGACGGTAACAGGTTTCATTTTAAGCAGATATAAAGTATTAATAGAATTCACGTTCTCTTTTTTTGGTCAAGCCTCAAAGACTAGACAGTATACTGATATTTGAACCAGCACTAGGTAATCTACTTCTTAGAAACGGAGTTACCTATATGCTGAGTATTATACCCTATGCTTTTTTTAAAGTTGAGTAAAGCCACTATATTAGCCCACAGACAGCCAGGCTACAAAAAGCAAGACCCGAGGAAGACTGCCCTACACGGAGGCAAATAAAACTCAGCTAATCTGATGTGTAGTTCATGCAATGCATAATTGTTATTATATCACACGGTAAGCAATTAAGCATTAATGGAAAGCAGTTTGTACAAATGACTGTAATTAGTATCACATTTATAGAGCCAAACCGCTTTTTTCTTCTCACTTTTCAGTTTCAAGGTTGATAGTTCTTGGCTGGAGGCCTCCCTACCCTGCAAGGTTAGGAAACATCTGCTTGACCTCTTACAGTTCTCTGGCCTGTAGAAGCCCAAAGCCCTGTGGACTCTGAATCCCAGGGGGCTTTGTGTTCTGGGACTACAACCAGGTTGTTGAATGCAGCTTTGGGCCTGAATCATCCTGATCTTCCACTGAAAACTCTGACCCTTCTTCCCTTTCTGCAACAAAAATCATTTACACTAAATACTCTTGGGTTTAATACGATTGACGGAAGAGCTGGAGGAGCCAGGAAAGGTCATCTCACACACTGCTCAGCAAACAAACCCAGCATCTCTTTTGGACCTCCCTGCAGCCTCTCGAGGCCCTCTTCCTCCCTCACCCCCATCCCCACCCTCTCCAGAATCTCTCCCTCCCAAGAGGCTTCTCTGGCCCATCTCTCCCTCTGCTTCCCACCACCTTGCTGACTCTCTTCTGTGCTTTCCTTCTCTGGAGAAAAAGAAATTCCTCTTCTTGTCTCATACCCTGAGTTTCTTCCTTCCTTGGCATCTGGGCATGTGCTGATGTCCATTTTCTGTGGGCTCTGGCTTAGTCCAGCCAGAGGAATTTTGGGATGAGCAAATAAAAAGTTCTCCCCTGAGTTCATGAGCTGGGCCTTACCCACACACCAGGGTGTGCCAACCCTCACCTGGGCCCACACACAGACTGTGTGTGGGCTCTCTCCAGCACCACTCTGGCCTTGGGTCCCTCCTGCCTGGGCAGTGGGTGCAGAATCTGAAGCAGAAACTGGCTGGGCCTCAGACTGGTCTCAGGCAGAGGGCAGGAGGCCCAGGTGGAGGAGGGGCACGGAGCCAGGACAGTGGTTCTTGACTTCGGTAAGTAAGAATCACCCAGAAGCAGATTTCTGAGCCTCACTCTCAGAGACTCTGAGTCAATTGGTCTGGGGCCCAGGAGTCTGCATTTTTATTGAACTTCTGACACAGTTTGCTGCCACACTTTGAGAATCGCTTCAGGCAGTGAGGGGATCTGAGGCAAAGGCTTAGAGCTTAGGGAAGGGGAAGGGGCTGGAGTAGGGACTCTCTGTCCCATCTAACCCACCCCACCAGGTACCCCAAAGCAGTTAAGGTACCTTTACCTTCAGCACCAGCCTTAGTTTAATATATTTTCGGTAATAAAGAGTTCTCTCCTTTAAAAAAGAAAAAAGATAATCATAACAACTCTTTTGCTTGCTTTCTTGATATTACTCTACCAGTAGCATTGTGAAAACAGGAACTTTATAATCCGCAGACATAGACTTGAATCCTGACATTATCACTTACTGGCTGTGGCTGTTTGACCCGGAGCTGGTTATTTAAACTCCTCGACCTTCAATTTCTTCATCTATAAAATGGGAAGGGTGGTAACAAATTAATGTCTGTCTCATAGATAGGTCCTTGTTAGCCCCTGTCTCTGTCTGGTGGACAATTAAAAGTTGTGCCAACAAACTGACAAAAGAAAAACAGAAGAGGAAGCAAATAACCCAAATGAGAAATGAGACGGGGGACATTACAACAAACTCAACTGAAATGAAAAGGATCATAACAGAGTACTATGAAAAATTCTCCTCCAACAAATTTGAGAACCTAGAGGAAATGGAGAAATTTCTAGAAACACACTACCTACCTAAACTAACACAAACTGAGACAAAAATCTGAACAGACTCAACAAGAGAAGAGATTTAAGAGGTAATAAAAAAAACTGTCAAAAGAAAAAAATCCCTGGCCTGGACAGTTTCACTGGAGAATCTACCAAACATTCAGAGAAGAGTTCACACAAGTACTACTCAAACTATTTCAGAGCACAGAAAAGGAAGGAATGCTCCTGAATTCTTTCTATGAAGCCATCATAACCCTGATACCAAAGCCAGACAAATACACCACAAAAAAAGAAAATTACAGACCAATGTCTCTCACGAATAGAGATGCAAAAATTCTCAACAAAATTCTAGCTAATAGAGGAAGGAACCTAACTTCCTGTATAAACTTTCACTAAAAACACAATGAAATATTTTTTAAAAATTCTAGCCAATAGAATTCAACATCATATCAAAAAAATAATACACCACGACCAAATAGGATTCATACAAGGTATGCAAGGATGGGTCAGCATTAAAAGTTGTGCCGGGGGAAGGCTGTGCTATAAACTCACCTCTTGAAGCTGCTTGCAGGGGCTTAGCCCTGCTCACACCCAGAGAAACTCACAGCAGGCCTGGAGAGGAGTAAGACACAGCCATTTCCATTTTTCTTTTCTTGTATTGGGGCTCTGGTGGTGCAGTGGTTAAGTGCTCAGCTGCTAACCAAAAGGTCAGCAGTTCAAATCCATCAGCTGCTCCTTGGAAACACTATGGGGCAGTTCTACTCTGTCCTATAGGGTCGCTATGAGTCAGAATTGACTTGACAGCAGTGGGTTTGGTTTTTGGTCTTGTATTGAGTGTAGCTGGATAATCCCTGGGTGAAAAGGAATGTGAATTCCAAATTCTCTCCTGAAGTACTCCCCAAGAGATGGTTACCATTCATTCTTTCATACACTCATTCACTTGTTCATTTATTTTTTCATGTAGCACTTATTTTTTGAGCATATAAAATGTGCCAGGCAGTATACAAAGTACTGTAAATAAAATAGTGAATAAAACAGCAATGTTACTGCTCTCATGAAGCTCACATTCTTGTATGGGAATAAATACAATTTACTAACTGCAACCAAAAGTTACTGCAACCCATGCCCAGCTCAGTCGTCAGCCCTAACTGTAGTCACTTACTCAGTTTTTACCATGTGCTAGGCTCTCTCCTGCATGCTTACATTTGTTATCTCATTTAATTCTCACAACAAGCCCTTATAGTAAGTTTTATCATTTTTATTTTACAGATAAGGGAAATAAAGTACAAAAAGTTTAGACAATTTACTCATGGTCACATGGCTAGTAATGCAACCAAACTGGAATCCAAATCCTGTTATGTGTGACTCCATATTCCTAACTCTTAACCACCATTTGATATACTCCCATGATCCTTGAGGGCCCCCAGATGGCGGTAGGGCAACCTTGCAACCAGGGAACCTCCTCCAAGCCCAGGAGAACAGACAGATTCCATGGCCTGTTGGTCCCAGGGGAATCTTTCTGAATTAATTCACCAGGAGAATGAACCAATCAGTTTTGGAGGAAATACAGCCAGAATTCTCCTTAGAAACCAGGATGGGGAGACTTCATCCTGGTTACTTTG